CAAGAAAACAACGCTGAAGATATCAGTCAGCTGTTGTGTCGGTCTATCTCTGCTGCATTGTATAGACCAGAGGTCACGGATTAGTGGACCACAGTCCGGATCCGGGTCCACCTGATTTAAACATTTATAAATTGCTGCATGTTGTCCCACGGCAGAGTCTAATTTCACTTGCTCCTCTTCTCCTGTTACTACGGTAAAGCCCTGGGGAGCGTCCGGCTCCAGGCTGCACGTGATCCTAATGAGCCAATGAGCTGTCAGTCTGGGTTGCTGCTGCTGCTACTTTTAGACACAGCAGGCAAACCTGTGGCAAGCCGGGCGATGGGAAAGAAGGAGAAGACCATGAGAAAAAGAGAGCAGAGAAAGTGTGGACTGCTGGAAGAACTGCGGTGAACTGGTGAAAGAAAAGTGAAATGGCGTGCTCAAAGATGACCCTGCACATTTAGAGGATGTTTGGCTCAACCTGCTGCTGTGAAGCAGGATTCTCCACCATGAACAGAATCAACAATAAATCTGGATCCAGGCTCAAAATGAGCTCCTTGATATGTGCTTGAGAATGGCTTAGTCTCCGGTTAAACCCAGGTTTAAAGCCTTGCAGGGCAGCCTAAAGCCCACTGCCAACATTAAGACAGAAAAAAGAAAGAAAATAACAAACCATCAGTTCAGGGGTTTGAGAAAATATGGGAATCAGGAAATTATCTATAAACCAAACTGTGAGAGACAATTTCAAAAAGCACTTTATATTTTAAAATGGAAAAACGTTCTATTTTTTGTTTTGTTTTTTTATTAAAAAATTCAATGTATAACATGGATGCTTAACCACCTGCATTTTATTTCTGTGTTTAATTCTGTTTAAAGTAACAGAGTATAATTAAAAATGTCTGCGGACCTTTACTGGTTGATGATTTTCTTTACTCCTGGTATATATATATATATATATATATATATATATATATATATATATATATATATATAATATATACATTGCCATAATTGTAGGCGATACGAAATTGTTCCTAAGGGAAAAAAAAAAGTTGTATTCCATAATTTAACCATCTGCCAGATTCTCCTATAGCTACCTGATATGATAAACACTGTTAATAGAAAGTTTTCTCAGTTCTTTAAACCAATTTATTTTTGTAAATTCCTCCAGATATATACATGTATAGATGTATATATATCTATATCTATATATATATATATCTATATATATATATATAGATTTCTCCCAAGGAATGATTATTGCAAAGCTTTATTCTTTTATTTTAAATAAAACTCTCCAAGGTCAGACTTAATTAACAGATTTAAAATAAAACGGTGCTTTTCATGTTAAACCTATTAGCATTAGCACAGCACACATAGGAACGTTGTTGCACGTGTTTAAAAATTACAAATTAATATTTCATCCAATTTCTTCATTAAATTAATATGTTCCTTAAACTATGAATGTATTTATTGTTCGACACAAACCCTTTATTATTAGACATTTATATTTTGTTAGAAAAGTAATCAGACTACATGATCTTAGCGGCAAACGTTACTAATTAGCTAAAATATTCCCAGGATGCGTTTGATTGTTAGAAAATGTTTTTGGGATTCGCTGCAGTTTGGATTATTTGATGCATTCTTCTGCTATAAGTTAAACTCAACGTAAAGCTGCAGCCTGGGATCAGGAAGCCAGCTGCTGGGTTTTACCGCCTATTTTCTACCCTAGATTTCTTTTTCCGTTTGTTTTAACTGCGTTTATGAAATCCAGGCGTATTTTTACCTTCTTTGACGGAGAAGAGGAAATTTTTTCGTTTAGTCCTGTGAATGATGCTGGAAAGGAGAATTTCTTCTTCATTTCTTTTTTTTCTCACCACAGACAGGATGACTCCTTCCCTGTTTCTAAACCAATCCTCTTGGGACTGTCTGTCACTCACTGTTTCACTCAGTTCTCATTTGCACCTGTCTCTCTCTCTCTCTCTCTCTGTTTCCCCCCCCCCCCTGGATCCCTTTGTTTCTCCAGCTGCTCTTCACCATCAGTGCTTTTCTCTCCTTGTAGCCTGGTTTCCTTTTCTTTGTACAGTATTTCAATTTGATTTCCATTTTCAGCTTTTATTCTTCTTTGCTCTGGACCATTGCTCATCTCCTGGGTCTTCCCACCTTTTGGAAAGTTTATTATTGTGTTAAATGAAATATGAGCTTTGTTTTGCTGCTGCACAGAAAATGCAGCATTTTTAAAATTAACCAGAGAGTCTGTTAGTTTTTATCCCTTTTTTGGGGAACAGGCGGGGGTGTTTGTTTATCTCAGGAGGATCTAAAGTCTACTTTGTGTATTTGTTTGTTTCTTATTATTTGCAAATGATAGAGATATTGAAGTACATGCCAGACAAAAGAGATTCATGTTTTGTTTGTAATTTCCACTTTATATACAATGTAACGAAAATTAAAACTGAATCTAAAGCGGAAATTGGCATATATCTGCATGTTAAGACCCTATAAAGAACTTTGGAGTACTTGGACTTAATAAAGTGTTGTAGAAGTTCAGCCATTTGCATCTTATAGTTGTGTTTAAAATGTTCTGTTTTATCCTTTCCACTGTATTCATAATTCCCTGTTTGCAGTCTCAATTTTCACAAATATAAACATTTGATTCATATGTGCACTGGACAAGAGCCACAAACGGAAAACATGATTCACGCAAGCATACAAGATCCACACATCTACAGCCTATCATTCGCCAAAGTATTTCTGGTACTGAAACAATTATAAATTAAATTACAAAGTACCAGCAGTCTATAAACTTCAGCATTTGTGTGTTTAGAGACTGCCCTGACATGCCTCGATACACAAATGCATTTTTTAAAGCAGGGGATAGTTTGCTACCAATCACACAACTCCCTTGCATGAGCCAATCACAAGAAACTATGCCAACGTACGCTAATTATTGGTCCATCAGTTCCAGGTCAGTTATCTGATGGTCGGCATCCGTTCAGTGTCAGTTCCTCATCAGTCGTGGCGTCTAGCTGATCCTAAACCTCTGCGTAACTTATCCAGAACTTCTCTCCAACATATCAGCGTATCTGCCGTGTTCCAGACGAGCACTGAACGTGTTTCTAGCTTCCAGCTACTGTATAATGGCGTATTGGCAGCGTTTTGGTATAAAGGGGGTTCACAGGAGGAAACCGTCAGTTCTCCTCCAGACTTCATCCCCATCATAGGGTGAGTCAGAAGGTGAGTGATGGATCCTCCCTGCGTTCACGCCCACCACCAACACACTTCCTAGCAGACATGACGCTCAATCTGCTGACACCAGAAACCTGCTTTCTTTATTTCTTTTCATTCATTCTTTTCTGGGTGGACGGTAAACAGCAGCGAGGTTAATACTGCCATCAAAGAAATCTCTTTCTGCAGGCCGGGCGCATCGCTGCCCCCCTCAGGACACTGTGCATCATTTCATGGCCATCATGCTGCTCTAGAAGGTTGCTGCTCTGGGTCCCTGAGCAAGACCCTTAACCCCACACTGCTCCCTGGGCGCCGCACAATGGCAGCCCACTGCTCCCCAAGGGGAGGGCTTGAATGCAGAGAGTCGCTATTGTGGGACAGTAAAGGGATTTAAATGTACATTATATAAAACAATCATTTGTTTGTGTTTTATGGAATAAAAAGAAGAAATATCTTCGTGTCTGTAGGCAGTTAATCTAAAATCCAGTGTCGTTCATCAGCTCCGTCTGTCATTTGTTGTTTAAATGGTTACTACAACATTGTTTGTTCATTTGTTGACCTTTCCAGTTCAGATTAGAGCTGAAAACACGACATGAGCGGCTTACCGTCTGTTTATGTATCAGATATGATTCATTTTGCTGCTCTGGCCTTTATCGGTTTTTCTCAGCAGAGCTTTTGCAAACTGACTTTGTACCAGACCAAGGCAAGGCCACATTAGCTCAGGTTAGGTTTTAGTTTTTAAAATAGATTTTGCATCATGTTGGCAGGAGACCGACGGGAGCCGACCTCATCCTCTGGACTGAGTTAGAAGAACTGAGGTTCCTGCCGTAGACGCAGACGCAGACGCTGCTCACTGCGGTTTCAATAAACATTTTGAGAAATCTGTTTGTCCGCCTTGAATATTGGATCTTATACTGGGCCTTGACACCTACATTAAAATCTGCTGCATCGTCACCTTTAAATGAAAAATGCTAAACATTGATATAAGATGAGGTGAAAAAAAAAGAACAGAAAACAACAAAACAAAGAGATTCTGCTGCTACAGGAAATGTTTGCAGTTTAGTTAAATGTCCCTGGAGAAGCTGGAGTATATGATGCTTCATGATGACCTGAAACATCCAAGGCTGTAGGTTTGATTAACTCCCAGCAAACAAGTTCACCTTGGAGGTCATATTTATAGCCCAGGTATGATGCAGGTGTAACCAAGCTATGCTATAATAGTGTGTAGAAATGTTTTCCACCTTGTGTGAGTCAGCGCATCACTTTCAGCAGCATTGTGTGGAAGGGCAGCTTTGCACTCATCCCCAAACCGTTCCACTCGTATAAAAGTGTCAGTAGAGATTACCTGCAGCAGGACACGTGCGAGACACCTTTACCAGTAATGAGCTTTTCCAGAAGAAAGCGCACAGCAAACCCCAAGTTTTCAGCCCTTTAAATCGCCATTATTTCCATGGTTACAGCGGGTCATGCTCCAGCTGTTTGGAATCAGGTTTGCAGAGTGGCTTTCAGGAAAGCTACTTCCTGGACCTCAAAGAGGCAACTGCCATGTAAATTTCAGGGTGTTGTGAAAGATAATCATAGTGAGAAAAGACTCTTCACAGCAGATTTGATTTGGCTTTGATTAGTGTAATCAGAGTACCATAAAGAGCGATGGCACCGTGTTTCTGAGATAATGTGGGAAGCGTTTAGTCTTCAAATTAGCGCTGCAAAAACGCCGCTTCCCAGGACAAGGCTGAAGCTTCAGTGTTTGGGTTTGGCTGTCATACCTTCCCTTCCTCTCTCTGTTTTGGCTCCAGGGAAAGAGGAACAAGTCCGGAGTGGAAGCAGCCGACACTCCAGACTCGGCACGTGGGCGAGGGGAGAAGAAAGCCATCAAGTAAGTGTCTGGTTGGGTTGGAACAGTGTGGTGATAATGAGCTCCAGTTGGTTCAGCTTTACAAGCAACGCAGGAAACGAGCCTGTTTTTTAGTTTTGTTTGTTGTTTATCAGGATGATGTTTTTGGAGGACAGTGATGTAACCGTGTAGATTTAATCTGTATTAACATCTGAAATCTTTGAGCGATCAAGACGCTGCAGGTTCAAGCCTAAAGCTGACAGGCTTGAATCTTCCCTCTGAAGGTCTGATTGTTTTGGGTTGATCTTCATCTCAAGCCTTTTACCGTCTGGCTAAATGAAGCTGATTGGTCAGAATGAAGCATCTGTTTGTGTTTCTGTATTCTGCTTAATAACCTCTTCTTTTCTTCTCTAGCCTGATTTAGTCTCTGCTACGTTCAGTTTGTTCTTTTTGTTTCTATATGGATGCTTTTCAGCACATCGATGGGCTTCAGCTTGTAAAAGCGTTCTGACTTGGTTTCTTGGATCTATTGAGTTTGTTGTTTTTTTCTGACCTGCTCCAACGCTGTGCTCTGTTGGTCATTTCAGCTGTTTCCTTTTCTGCTCCGTCCCTGAGCTTCGCTCTGACCGCTGCTGTGCCACTTGTATGACATTAGTGATTCTGCTCACTGCTCTCAGACTGCGTGTTTTTTCTCTGCCAAGTCTTTCTGTCGCTTTTTTTCCTCACTTCTTCTAACACCAAGGATGCGGCGCAGACTTCACTTCTGCTTCAGGATTTTTCAGTTTTCATGATGTATGTTCTGTTATATTTTGATGAGTTTTATGACTTTGCAGTTCTGTCTCTACAGCCGAACACCTTGAATAACCAGCTATGTATTTTTAAACCCAACCTGTGCGATGACTGGTCTGCTTCCGGTAGAGAAAGAGGTTTAAAATGTGGGCCTGCTGTGTTTCCGTGGATGGGAGGAGCCTCCAGCCGAGTCTCTCTGTGATGCGAACGCTCGGTCGGTCCAGAGTCTGTCTGTAGTTGTGTTGCTCTGACCTGTCTCTCTCTTTGGCCGCAGTGATCTAGACAGAGACTTTTGGAATAACAATGACAGCAGCACAGTGCAGCAGAGGTGGAGCTCCTATCCGCCCAAGGAGTTTGTACTAAACATTTCTCCCTATGCCCCATATGGAGATCCTCGCCTCACGCTCAAGTGAGTCTTGGTCCAAGTCTGGTAAGAGGCTTCCCTGTGGGCAGGGCTGTAACGAGGCAGGGGCAGCGCTGCTCTCTTTCCTTTCTTTCTTTCCCAGCTTCTCACATGTTCTCCTCACCCGCTTTGCTCTCACCACCATTAGCAACCTCATCCAAATTAAGCTCAGTTATGGATGATTTCCATACAGAAAGACCAAATCCTCCCACTGATAACAGAGATATTTACTAAAACACCCATTTTATAAATGTAATCAAAAAGTGCATATTTGCTGAGCTGCGTTTGCTGTATAATGTCGCTTCCATCCCCGGTAGAAACAACAACGATGATGATGATGATAATAACCCGAGCAGTGTTGGCACACTGGAGGGCACAGATGATTGCTAATGATGGGTCTGCTCGGGAAATCTGAGCACGGCAACTTCCACTTATGCACATTACAGCGTCCTGTTTAAAGCATTTGACTGTTAGTGCATCAACAACGTAGCACAGTCATATGGATCAAGCCCCCCCACCCACTCCCAGTATGCGTTTACTACTTCTGCTCATACGTTGCCTTGCAGAAGTGTTTATACCCCTTCATCTTCCCCACATTCTTTAGCAGGAGGACAAAAAGCTGCTCCAGACCAACAGGCAGTGGAGTTTAGTAGGAAGAAAACCAGATGATTAAATTTTATGCAAAGGAAGAGAAGAACACTTCAGGAGTCGCCTGAATAATCTGCCACTTGTTCCCATAAAAGGGTGAAAGAGATCTGGTTTAGGATGCATTTTGGAGATGTTTAAAAAGCAGAGTTGGATTATAAAAGGAATATCCTCAGCATCTAGAACAGCACTTCTAGATCCACCATCTTTTAATTGAAAGAATACGGTACGACTACAGGTCTACATTTCTATGATTAAGAAGAGCACAACTCAGAGAAGTTGCCCAAAAGTCCAGGATATTCTGGAGACGCTTGAGAGAATAATATTTTATAAAGCACCAATTCACAACACATCTTATTTCAACTTTACTTTACAGAGAAAATTCAATCAAATCCAATAAAAATAAAGATTTATTCAATATTGAGGAAACCCTGTAAATGGTATAAGGTGATTGCAAAATCCTCCTGGATGAGCAACAAATCACTTTCATTAGCAGAGTTAAACACTTTAAAGAAAAGTTCATAAAGCTGCTGACGAAAACACTGAGTGACGGAGAAATCCAATCCAATCCACTTTATTTATATAGCACGGTTTAAATAAACACAAGGTTTCCAAAGTGCTGCACAAAAAGATAAAATAACTAAAAGTAAATAAAATAAAAGCACTGCCCGCACAGGATAAAAATATGCAAATGCAGAAAGAAGATATCTAGCAGTGCATATTTGAAATGTTGCAAATGATCACGTTTAAATCTTTGGCTCACATGCATATTTCTTAAAGATAACATATTTATACATCCTTTTAAATGTTCTTAGTGTGGTACTCCTTTTTATTTCCTCAGAATAACTCCTGCTTGGCTGAGCTCCTGACTTTTAACCGCGGGTCGAACGCCTCATCTTCTCAACACAAACTAGAATTTTCTTCTCTACTGGTTTTTTGTATATTGGCAGGAAGAAGATCACGGCTCGCTTTATAAAATAAAGCAAAGTTTTAAATACGATTAAGTCATGGATTTTCATGAAGTTAGATTTTAATAAAAGTGCATTAGTGTAATTCCTGAATCCAACATTATGAATGATTCCTAAAGCTTTTTTCTAAAGTTTAATAAGTAAATCTAGATATAATTTTGTACTTATTACCCCAAAGCTCTATGCAATAACTAATGTATGGAAGAACTAATGAGTTGTAGAGGATATGTTGTTCTCTGTAGTCAAGCAGCTGTTTAAGCTTCCTGACACTTTTCATTGAATATTTTCTATTTGGGGTTTCCAGCATAGATCATGACTAAAAAAATCACACCCAGAAATGCATATTTATTAACTCTCTCAATACTAATATTGTTTATTTGAACATTTACTTCAATGTCTTTTGGTCGTTTGCTAAAGGTTATAATTTTAATATTAGGAATATTCATTGATTCTTACTAAAAGCAAAAAAAAAAAACCCGGAGGCAACCAAGTTCAATGTGGGATCAGGTCAACCGTAGTTAGATTGGTCAGCGGAAAAACAGAGATAGAGAAAATAGATTTGGGGTGAGAGTGGACAGAAATGCATTCTGGGCCGCGGTGAATAAGGCTGAACATGAGTGAAATACTTTGCCAATCGGACATCTATTTGTCTTTTACTCCACAGATTTAGTCCTTTTTCAAAAGAGTAGCAGAAAAAACAGCTGATAACCTATTGAATATTAATTCTGTTGGTTGCAGTTTCTAAATCCTGCAGACATGTAAAAGAATGTGTCCTGATTAGCTGAAAGTTGAACCCTTAAAGCCCGGTGGGCCCGGTTTAGGGCCCAGCTGACACCAGCAGATTTTTATCTATTTATAGAAAAGTCAGTCACATGGTGTTTCATCCACACACCTTTCAAATGAGGCTTTAAAATGTCTAAAACATCTCAAAATTATTTTTTCACAAATACTTTTTTTTCTATAGCTGTTTAAACAAATGAAAGGAGATTTAAAATTCCACCTGACATGTGTGACTCTGCAGGTATTCATTTTTAGCCCCGCCCCCTAATGGCCACCATCATTGGAAACTAGAGGCTCAGACCTTTCCAAGGAGGGGTCAGAGGTCATTGTGCGACCATTTCAGTAAGCGGAGTGCTTTCCATAAGCTGCTCTGTTATTCTGATTTTCTATCCAGTTTGGTGATTTTATTGGTAAATTTCAATGAACCAACGACTGAATCTTAGCAGCAAAGTCTTTGCCTCATGCAGAAAGTCTCCAATAATAGAAATCAGCAGATTTGTCTGAATAGATTCTCCTTTATTAGTGGATAAAATGTATTTTCGCACTTTCGGAACCACTGTGCTAAAATCCCATTTCCTGCTAGCGCACTGCTCACTAAAACCTCTGTGGAACAAACATGCTTCAACTCATTCAGTCTAAATTAGCTTGAGTTATAGTGAAGATGTGGATCTATAAAGTCTGAGGTTCATCTAGAGTTTCTAATGAGCTTTATGGTGTTTTACAGTGTTTAGTTTTGGGGGGGGGGAATTGGCGAGGCTAAATACATTTCATTTTTTCTTTGTTTAATCACCTATAAATCAGACATGCTGACATCTAAAATGAAAAACTATTCCTCAATGACTTTCTGTCACACAAATGTAAACAATTGTATTTCCAATTTATAGTTTGGAAGCTGAACTCGTTTTATTTAACATTTATAATTTCAGGCAGAATTTGCTCCTAAGATCCTCTGGGCTTAAGAGGTTAACTGCATGCAAATGGTGGGAAAAAAATATCACTGTATGTAATTAACACCTTACTCTCACGGTGATGGATATTTTTGGTTGATCAGCAGAGATGGCAGATATGGTCTGAGTAGATCGGAGACTGAGGTAATGTCAGGATTTGTTCGGGGGTTGAGGACCCAAAGGAAGAGGCAGGAAGACAGAGGTGAATCTTTAAAGTGATTTAATGATGAATAAAGATAAAAAAAACTGAAAACAGAGGCAGGTTATCCAAAATTGCAAAATGAAAACTAAAGTCCAAAACAAACTGAAAACCAGGAGTCCAAATATCCAAAGATAATTAATTAAGAAAAAACACAAGTCTAAACGTACCAAAAAAACCAAGGAGACATCAGGGGAATCAAAATCACAAGTAGGGCTCACAGAGACGAAGTGGAGGAAGACTGAAGAGGTTTGACGGTGTTTGACGAAGACCCAGCAAAGAGGAACTGAAGAGAGAGGGATTTTAGAGGAGACTGAGACAAAGAGGGGGCTGATGAGGAAACTGGGAGCAGGTGTGCACAGAACAAGAGAGGGAAAGAGCTAGGAAGGAAGGAGAACACAAGAGTGCAGCAGAGAGCAACCAATAGAAACCTGGAAGACTGGAAATAACAAAATAATAATTAAACTACGAGGACTGTAAAACAAAGAAAACTAAACACTCAAAAGAAAACAGAACAGAACCAAAACTAGGACAGTAACTGGGGAAAAAAACAAAGAACAGAGCAAAATAAAAATAAAACCACTAAAACTAGAAAACAAGGAGTAAAGCAAGACTGAACACTAAAAAGAAAATATAACAGAACCAAGACTAAGACAGTAACTGAGAAAAAAACAAAGAACTCAATAAACTGAGAATTAAACCACAAAACTAGAAAAAAAGGAGCAAAGCAAAACAAAAACATAACAGAAACAGAAACCTGACAGGTAAATAAATGGCAATCATGGAAGAAACCCTTTGGAATAAAATGTCCGACGCTATAGTGAAGCTAAGCTTCCAGAAGGACAGTGACTCAACATAAAGCCTCAAATATCATGGAGAAAAACATTTTCACACAACTGGAAAAAAGGAATGAGTATTAAATTCAATCTCTAGAAAGACACACTAAATAATCATTGCAGTCCTCAAAATATTAACACATTTTTTAATTTTTAAAACAACCTGGAAACCATTTTTCTTTGCCTGAAAAACTTGGAGCTTTTTTGTGTTTCAGCTGAAATAGAAGATAAAAGCCTTCTAAGTTTGCCACGATTCATTTAGAAAATGTGGAAAAGCTCATAGGGCGTAAATACTTCTGAAGGCAACGTATGCTGTTGCTTTTTAAGCGACGCACATGTTGACACGCCCCCTCACTCCCTACAGCCCTGCCGCTCCACACTAACTGCTAACCTTTAACCTCTCTACCCATGGCGTGACCATGGAGACGGGCAACCCTAATCTTCCTCCTCTCCAAAAACGCTGTTAACCAACTTTTCTCTATAACGTGTGGTTTGGCTGTGTCTCCTATATCTGTGTGGTGCTGTGGTGGTTGCTTTGGATGTGGAGGGTTGACCGTTTGCACCAGGTTTGCAGTGTGGTGCCACTTACTGTACTGAACATTCATTTGTGGCTTACTGTTGAATTCTCCCCCATCAATGTAAAATCAGCTGCTCTAACATTTAATCACTTGAACTGCATCTGCTCTCTCATCATTTCTGGGAGGCAACATAATACTGTTTTTTTTCTCCTTATTGCTGTAAAAAGTCTCACTTGATTCCAGTAAAACTCAGCCAAGGTCACCTATGGGCCCTAAGAGGATATTCAGCTGCTAGGAAACAAACTAATCCATCTTTTGGACTTTAGATCTTTGTAATTCAGTCGTAATGAAAGAACTAAACCTTTGCACCACTGAGGTCCTACTGCACCTTCAGTGGTGAAACATAAAAACGGATTTTTCAGTCCACAATTAACCCCAAGAAACAGATTAATGAATTATGTGTTGGGAAAACATGTGACATTCAAAGTAAGACCATTTAATGATGAGATTTCTCTGAAGGAGAGACGGCGACGACTTCTTGACACCCACCAATGATATTGGGTTAAAGCCAACAGACAGCTGGGAAATCATTTCCTTTTTGAGATTCTCTTGAGAAGAGCAGCTTTCACTCATAATGACACTGGGCCTTAATTAGTCAGTCTCCAAGTAGAAAGGAGTTTATGGACTTCATGTTCATTTCTGACTATTAGTGCATCATGACTATTGAAGTGCTAAAGTCACATTTTTTAAAGATTTAAATTCAGGCAATCAAATACTATTTATCCAGGTTTCCACTTTCATTAGAAACCCTGACATGTGAGAGAAAGAAAGAAAAAAAATCACTTAAAGTCGTAAGGAAATCATATTTAAATGTCAAATCATTCTGCCTTAAACATGTACAGTGAGTCCAAGAAGTATTTGATCCCTTGCTGATTTTCTTCGTTTGCCCATTAATAAAGATGTCATCTCTACCCGCCATGTGTGGAGGAAGAAAAATGCTGCCTATGACCCCAAGAACACTGTGCCCACCGTCAAGCATGGAGGTGGAGGCATAATGTTTTGGGGGGTGTTTCTCTGCCAAGGGTACAGGGCTACTTCACCTCATCACTGGGAAGATGGATGGAGCCATGTACCGTACAATCCTGAGGGACAACGTCCTCCCCTCTGCCAGGAAGCTGAAAATGGGACGTGGTTGGGTCTTCCAACATGATAACGACCCGAAACACACAGCAAAGGCAACAAAGGATTGGCTCAAGAAACATCACATGAAGGTCATGGAGTGGCCCAGCCAGTCTCCGGACCTCAATCCGATTGAGAATCTATGGAGGGAGCTGAAGGTCACAGTTGCCAAGCGACAGCCCACCAACCTTCCTGATTTAGAGAGGATCTGCAAAGAAGAGTGGGCCAAAATTCCCCC